CAGACAGACAGACAGACAGACAGACAGACAGACAGACAGACAGAATCTCCTATATATCCTATTAGAAGACCTACAAACGGGTCCTTTGGGCGTGGAAGGACGGGCGCCCCGCCCCGCCCCGCCCCGCCGCCCCCTCCTCTTCTTATCCCCGCCGGCTGAGCCCGGAGGCGTGGAGTCCGCGCTGGAGAGCAAGCCAAGGCGGGGAGCCCCGCGGATCGCCCACCGACCCTTCTTCACAAGACGCTTCGCCTCCGATGGAGCGGCACTTTTGCGCGCTGCTGCTGCTGCTGCTGCTGCTCCGCCCGGGCGTTTTTGGCAAGGTCTCCTGCCCGCGCGGTGAGCGGCGGCGGCCCGGGGGTGATGCTTAAACCCCGGTGCCGGTGGGTTTAATCGGTTGAGACCCCGGCCCGTATGACCCCGGGGTGCGAGACCCCGCTGACTCGTCCCCCTTTCCCCTTTCAGGCGCCTACCGGCCCGCGGAAGGCCAGTCTTGCCGGCCATGCAGCGTCTGTGACAGTAAGTAGACCTTACGGGGGGTCTTGAGTTCCGAGGGTGTAGGGGGTATGTCGGGGGGTCTCAGCTCTGGTAAAGCGGGAAGGGGGCTGGCGGAGGGCGTGGAGGGTTCAGATCTGGGAGGCTACAGTGGCTTGGCTCGTGGAGATGGAATAAGAAAGTCAGAAGGGGACCTCAGAGGTCTTCTACTCCACCCCCTGCTCAGGCAGGAGACCCCAGACCAATCCAGACAAGTGTCTGTCCAACCTCTTCTTAAAAACCTCCAGTGTTGGAGCATTCACACCATTCTGGAGGCAAATCGTTCCACTGATTTAACTGTTCTCTCTGTTAGAGAATTACAGAGTCGGAAGGTGCCTTGGAGGTCTTCTAGTCCAACCCCCTTCTCAAGCTTCCCCTTAATTCTAGGTTACTTCTCTCCTTGATGAGTTTCCATCCGTTGCTTCTTGTCCTGCCTTCAATGCTTTGGAGAATAGCTTGACTCCCTCTTCTTTGGGGCAGCCCCTGAAATACTGGAAGACTGCTATCATGTCTCACCCTTTTGTCCTTCTTTTCATTAAATTAAACATCCCCAATTCTTGCGACTGCTATAGATGAGATAGATAGATGGATGGATGGATGGATGGAGGGATGATAGAGAGAGACAGAGAGAGACAGAGAGAGACAGAGAGAGAGAAAGAGAGAGAGGCAGACAGAAAGAGAGAGGGAGAGACAGAAAGAGACAGAGAGAGAGAAAGAGAGACAGACAGAAAGAGGGAGAGAGAGAAAGAGACAGAGAGAGACAGAGAGAGAAAGAGAGAGAGAGAGACAGACAGAGAGACAAAGAGACAAAAAGAGAGAGAGACAGACAGACAGACACACACATATTCTATCTCTCTTTCTCTCTCTCTCTTTATATATATATAGCCTCCAGTCTCAACTCCTGGCTGGGGACAGGAGCCTCTTACCAGGTTCCTATCTTTCTTTTCTTGCCCTACTCCTCGCCTTACGACCTCCACTTACAAAAGTGCCCATTTAGTGTCCGTTCAAAGTTTTACCATCACTGGGGAAAAAAAGAGACTTAGGACCGTTTTTTCACACTTCACGACTGTCGCAACTTCCCCGTGACTGCGTGATCAAAATTCGGACGCTTGGCAACTGGCTCGTATTTACGACGGCCGCGGTGTCCCAAGGTGTGCAATTCCCCTTTTGCGACCAGCCAAGTCGAAGTGGGGGGAAGATAGATTTGCTTCCAAAAAGTTGCGACTCACTTAACAACTTTGGCAAGAAAAGCAGAGCGAAATTCCCTTTACTAACGCCTCACTGAACGTCCGAAATGGTGGTCATAATTCGAGGACTACCTGTAGTTTTTCCAGTGTGGTGGCTTTACGTGGAAAAGGGGTCTGGAATTTTGCAGCAAAGTTTAGATTATTGGGATTTTTGGGGAGGGCAGGGGGAGTTTATTCCCTTAACCAAATATTCTTAGGAGTTTATGGAAAGCTAGCCACAAATGCTGGCTAGATCTTATCCAATCCTGGTTAACCCAGCAAGATAAACCTGCTTCCTGCTGCCAAAACCCCGTCAAAATCAACTGAGCTCAGCTCAGAGGGAAAATCGACTTCTCTACTCTAATGTTTTTAACCCTCAAGGGACTTTGGTCTACAAGCAGAAATGTACCGCAACTTCCAACGCCGTTTGTGAATGTGCTCCGGGTTATTCATGTGGGAAAAATTGTGAGGCGTGTAAGTGTGAGCTCGGACAGCAACGCACGATTGCAGGTAAGGTGGCCCCCAGCTACGATGACTTTCTGCACAGGTGGTTCTCCACTTACAACAGCTTGTTTCAAGTTAAAACCCAGGACTGTGGGTCGTTTTTCACACGTATGACCATTGTGTGGTCACATGACCAAAATTTGGATGCTTGGCCACCGATTCATATTTATCATCATTTCCTTTTAATGATCCCATAATTCCTTGGAGTCTGGGTAACTGTACTGGCCGGATGTCTTTCCTGTTGCCAGTGTGGGGTTTTGTTAGAAATTTTTATTGGCTCAGTTGCGGTCGTAAAGTCGGGAACTACCTGTAGTATAGTGTTCTGAATCTCTGGAAAACTTGACTTATCTAACGCCGGGGGAAGAAGTTCTCTTGAACGTCACAACAGCGGTGGGATTTTCACTTGCTACAAGCCACTGTTGTGCGTGTGTTATGTGAGTGACAAACCTCCAAAGCAGACTGAGATGGAGCCCAAGGCCAAGGTGGGAGAAAGAGGCAGGGGAAATGAATTGAAGGCAAGCTGCAGTTAGAAAGTCGGCCTCCCTCCATTTATTTGGTTAGCCAGAAACTCATTCAGACATCAAACTTTCTTCTGTGCTTCCCAAGGTTGTCAAAGCTGTCCAGACAAGACTTTCAATGATCAACATACAGGTGAATGCCGACCATGGAGAAAGTAAGTTCTTCTGGAATAAATTTATTTTAAAATCTCAGGTGTAAAACACGAGACTAACTACCCATTCCTGCAGGTGTCCGGGTGGTAAGATTCAGGAACCAGGGACCAAGAAAAAAGATGTGGTTTGCTGGACTCAATCAGAAGTTCCCACCAGCCAGCCCTCCACTTCCCCATCTGTCTTCTCTACTAAGGTTTCTTCAGGTAGCTCTTCTTGGAACATTTATTTATCCCATTAACTGTTTAATCCAATATTTCTCAGCTGCTTGAAGACATATGGACTTCCATTCCCAGAATTCCCCAGTCAGCCTTGCTGGGAAATTCTGGGAAGTAGAATTTGGGGAGTCTTAAAATCGCCACCGTTGAGAAAACAAAGGGGCAAATCTTTTGAATTATGAGTTAGAACTTTTGGAATAACGAAATAAGAGTATGCAATGAAATTGCAAACGTGACCGATAAAAATATAAAGTATAATGAAGATGAAGATGCCAGAATTATTTAAAGCAAAAAGAAATAAGTTAAGATATGAGTAGAAAATATATAAAATAAGTTTGAAGAATATAAGAATATTTGAGAAAATTTACAGAAAATATGAAATGTAATGATATGATATGAAATCAAATGTGAAAGGTGAATATGTAACCAAGGTCCTGTTCATATGGAAATGCGAAAACCTGGAATCATGCTGTTCACTAAAAGAGATGTTTCTGAAATATAAAAATAAAAAACTGTTTTTTTACAAAAAGAAAACAAGGGGCTGCTAGAAACCCCAAATAAGCAGCACGATATGCAAGGAGCCAAAACCGACAAGATTAGCTCAAACAGAGCACATAGGATGTCTCCTTTGACCTGTAGAGCCAATCATGACCCCATAGGAATCTGGATAGATAAATAGATTTATTGGATATTACTTATATTATTCATATGGGAATGTGATTTATATTGTTATATTGATAAGAGGAGTATTATTATTAATTGTAAGCACACAAAATATGAACCTAATTGAAATGGAATGGATTTATTGTATGTAAAAATAAAAAAATTGGGGGAATTTGGCAACAGCCATTAAAATGTTACACGAACCAGGCATCCCAATCACAAATCCTCCCCAAATTGTATAAAAGCCCATCTACTCTCCACCCTAATTTGTCAGCCACCCCAGAAACATGCTGCTGTCCCTGGTTTTTTTTCTGGCTACCAAACAGATGGAGACTTTCTTTCTATTTGCAGCCTGACTCCAATTCATTTCTCCTGCCTCTTTCTCCCAGCTCGGAATAAGAACTGGACTAGATTTGGCTTCCAATTACTTCAAAGTGTGTCTTTGAATAAGTGAGATGGGAGGCATATCAATTAAATAATAATAATAATAAATTCTGAAAAATATCACTGCTTCCATTCTGGCCCTTGTTGGCCTCTTGTATGAAGTTGTCTTTTTCTTCTGAATGATGAATCATTTTATTTTTATATTGACTGAGAAACCCCAAAAAGAGTTGGCTGGGGGGTTTTTTTGGTTGTGTTCTCAGAATATGTGCAATCAGGCAAAGATCTATAAACCATGGCTAGTTTGTTTGTCATTTTTCTCAGACTCAACTCTATTTATTCTACTTTATATATATATATTTTAGTTTCTGGGTCAACATCCATTGGGGGAATCCCAAATTAATTGACCGATGTACTTTGGCCAAAGTTATAATATATAACTGGTTCAATATATAACAGTTAAATCAATGTATAAAATGTTTTACGAATGCAGTTTTGCGAATGGAGTCCTGGAATGTTTGGTCATTATAAAAGAAATTACTTTAGGATTGAGTTTAGTTTAGTATTGAGTATTGAGCATCATTAAACTAATGAATGTTTGGTATTGAGTTTAGTATTTACAATCGAACATTATTAAACCCCTTACTTTAGTATTTAGTATTATTTTACTTTTGTATTGAGCATTGAGTATTATTAAAACAAGTACGTTTAGGATTGAGTATTGAGTTTACTCTAGGATTTATCATAAAACATTATTCAACAAATTACTTTGGTATTCAGCCTTGAACTTCAGCGTTTAGCATTGACCAATATTAAACCAATTATTTTAGGATTTAGTATGGAGCATTCGCAAGTTTCTAAGAAGAGATTGGATAACCATTTGGTCTGAAGTGGTGTAGGGTTTCCTGCCAAAGCAGGGGGTTGGACTAGAAGACCTCCAGGGACCCTTCCAACTCTGTTATTCTAAATTCAAACAAACCACCATTTTTTTTCCCCAGTGAAAAATGTTGCCAGCATACATGGCTTCCAGCTGGAAGAGGCGAAGAATGCCTGCATTCACACAACCTTGTTTAATCTTGTTACCAAATGTACCCATTTCATACCTGGACTCTACGTCAAAGCGTATATTTACCCACATGGTTGGACTGTAAAAACCTATGCTCTCATTTAAAAATAACCTTAAACGCTGTGGTTATATCTCTGCTGAGATTGTGGTTAAGGGTGGGTGAAGAAATCCAGAATCTAATTCTCAATTTCTACAACTGAGAAAAAAAAAGACATTTGGTTTTTCTCTGGAAGAAACGGGGTGCAATTGTTAGGAAATCCACATCTGGTAAATCACATTATGTTAAGAACCAAACCTCCCTCCGAAGCTGGAACCATGGCTTATATAGTCTAGCCGCAGCTGAGGGTTCAAGGAGGCCAGATGCTTGCTTAAAGCTAAGCTATAGTTTAGTCAGTCTCCAGAAAAGGGCAGGATTTCACGGCGTTCGTTTTACGTTTTCTTGCAAAGCTGAAGAGCTTCCCCCACCCACTGAGCTTGAAAGTTTTGATCTCAATCAGGCTCCAACTGCAGTTAAAAACAAAAAACAACACCATGAAATACATTAGAAATGAGGAAACCCACAAACTCTGAGTATGTAGCAATAGAGGTATTGGTCACCTCATTGCAAAAAAAAAAAAAGAGGTTGAGATTTCGGAAGAAGCGCAGAAAAGAGCAACTAGGATGATTGAAGGCCTGGAGGCTAAACGATACGAAGGAATTTGGTATCTCCTGTTTCCCCAAAAATACAACCTACCCTGAAAGTAAGCCCTAAGCTTGATTTTTTTAACATCTGCATCCAATATAAGCCCTACCACTCCCCCCAAAATAAGCCCTAATTAAGACCCCTGGACGGGTAAAAATTAAGCTAGGGTGGGGATGAGGAGGTAGTGGAGCTGCCCTACTACTTACCTTTGGACAGGTGTAGCCGGGCCTCGCACATCCCCAACACCTGTCTGGCCGGCCCATTTCTTCTGCAGCCGGCAAGGCTTTCCCGAAGGCCTCTGGATCGATCCAGAGCTCTGTTATTGGCTGCAGAGGCCCTTCAGGAAAGCCTTACTGGCTGCAGAAGAAGTTCCTGAAGGCCTCGGACCGCCAAAAGGAGGCCAGAGCGACGCGTGCAAGTGAGGTTAGTCAGGGGAGGGTATCCCCCCAAAATAAGACCTGGTGCCATTTTTGGTGGCAAAACAATAATAGTAAGACAGGGTCTTATTTCTCAGGGAAACACGGCTATCTAGTCTGGAGGAAAGAAGGACTAAGAGGGGCATGATAGAAGTCTTCCAATATTTCAGGGGGTCCCCAAAGAAGAATGGGAGGGGGAGTTCCAGTTATTTTCCAAAACACCAGAAGGCAGGATGAGAAGCAACGGATGGAAACTCATCAAGGAGAGAAGCAACCTGGAATTTCCCTGCTTCCCTCCCACCGTTGCCAGTGCCAGCCTGTGAGCAGGGATCGCGAAGCGAGCCCATTGTGCAGCCAGGATCATTTTAATTGTGCTTTTTTTGTGGGATTTTTCTGAAGGATTGTTATTTTTTTTCTCCCCTGCTTTTTTTTAGAGGGGGGAAACCAGCTGATCCTCACCAGTTTTGCTTTCGTCACCATCCTTCTGTTTGGCGCATGCATGGTGTTGGCCTACTTCTTCCTCCGATCCTGCATCCGAAAGAAGTTCCCGAAACGTAAGGCCATTTCCCCTATTCTTCTTTTGGCCAGCAGTACTCTGCCAGTTCTTCCTCTTCCACTGCTCAGGACACCCCCTAGGGGGGTCTACGCCAACTCACCACGGCCAACTCGCCACCCAGATAATTCACCGCAGCCAAGGCTCAGCGGGAAAAGAGTCACACGAGTATCGGAGGTACCAGAGAAATGGTGGAATGGAAACCATGAAAGAAAAGATGCAAAAGGAAGGACTACATGAAAAGCGGATGACAAAAATTGAAATAATTTTAAAACCATTTTAAATAATTAAATTGAATTGTTGAATTGTCCTGCAGCAAGTTGACTGTGGTGAGTTGGCCTTGATGAGTTGGCCATGGGGAGTTGGCCATGGGGAGTTGACCATGGAGAGTTGGCCATGGGGAGTTGACCATGGAGAGTTGGCCATACTGAGTTAACCATGAGGAGTTGGCCATAGTGAGTTGGCCATGGGGAGTTGTCCATGGTGAGTTGTCCATGATGAGTTGACCATGGGAAATTGGCCATGTTGAGTTGACCATGGGGAGTTGACCATGAGGAGCTGGCCATAGTGAGTTGGCCATGGGGAGCTGACCATGGTGAGTTGGCCATGATGAGTTAACCATGGTGAGTTGACCATGATGAGTTGACCATAGTGAGTTGGCCATGGGGAGTTGGCCGTGTTAATGTGGCTGTGGTGAGTTGCCCCATTCCGAGGTCTTGGATTGCTTGGCATGCCTGCGCAGGGAGTTTTGTGTTGTGTCTCAATTCTCCCACTTCTTCTGTCCCGCAGCTGTCCATGGGCAGTTAGCCCAGGAGGTCGATGAATGCATCTACAGATACCCCGAAGAAGAAGAAGGAGGAAGCTGTGAAGCCCCTGCCAGTCTCAAAGGGGACCTTTTGGAAAAATTCTCTTCACAAGATGTATAACAACTCTGGGTCAAAGTGCTAAGAAGGGCTTCCTTGACCCGAAGGAAACCCCCCCACCACACACACACAAAAAAGACCCCCCCAAAGCATTTTGAGCAACTGTGCTTTTGAATGAATCCTTGCCATCTTCAGAAGCGATGGAAGAATCCCTTAAATCAGGGGTGTCCAACCTTGGCAACTTTAAGCAAAGCTGGCTGAGGAATTCTGGGAGTTGAAGTCCACAAGTCTTAAAGTTGCCAAGGTTGGACACCCCTGCCTTAAATTATCCCCTTTTCTCTCTCCCTGGAACTGGAATATCGGCCTGATGGCCCTCGATTTGAACTTTAAATAAAAACAAAACACCAAACACAACACAATGGGACACGCTGGTTTTTGATTTGGGGAGGGGGACGTTGTTAGGATGGCCAGAAGGCAATGGGAAAAGTAGGCCATGCAAAATAAAATAAAATAAAATAAAAGCACGGTGTTGGGGGGGAAAGTCCACTCTGTTGCAGTTGTGTTAAGTTGAACGGCAAAGAGCCACCACTTGGAAGTTCTCGAGAACCTGGTGGCCTTCCAGAGGCCAGAATCTTCCTGTTTTCAAGGGTTGTTTTTTTTCAACCTCCAGAAGTTTCTTCACTTCCTAAAAGCTAGTTTGTTGGGGGTGGTTTCTGGCTCCCAACCTCTTCTTGATGGCCTATCAAGACTTCCTAGGTACGAATCTCAACTTATCATCACTGGTCATCACTTCCCACCTACGAACGAACATCCAGCTGCGACTTCTCTCTCTCTCTTTTTTTGATTCAGATTAAACATGACTCATAACACAACCGTTTCTTTACGCGCGCACACTTCTGATGGTGACGCCAAGTGGAAATATATCTGCGACGAGGTGGGTCTCGGTGGCCTTTTCGTCTCCCCACCGCTTCCCCACACACCAAACCTTGATTCTCCTCTGGCCAAGTGCGCTTTGCTCTCCCCTGGCGCCTACGACGTCAAGGCTATATTCTGGAAGGATATTTCTATATTTACGCCCCAGCTGCGCTTTGAACTTGTCAAGCTCTGGGGGTTTCTAGAATAAGGTATTAAAAAGAAAATTACCTTCCCATAGCTAGCTTTGCCCCCGAGAAATCATCTTATTTGAGAGGACTTCAAATACAGGTAGACCTCCTGTAAATGAGGAGACATTTCTTGACAGGGAGAACAATCAACCCATGGAACAGAAGTTACCCTCAGAAGTTGTGGGAGCTTCATCATCCCTGGAGGCTTTCGAGAAGAGGCTGGACTGGACTGCCATTTGTCAGAAATGGTGTAAGGTGTCCTGTTTGGGCGTGGGGGGGGGTTGGACTAGAGGACCTCCAAGGTCCCTTTCAACTCTGTTATTCTAATCAATGGAAGGACTTGCCTTCAGAAGTTGTGGGAGCTTCATCATCCCTGGAGGCTTTCAAGAAGAGGCTGGGCTGCCCTGTCAGAAATGGTGTAGGGTCTCCTGCTTGGGCAGGGGGTTGGACTAGATGACCTACAAGGTCCCTTCCAACTCTGATTATCTGTTATCTATTATCCTCTTACAAAAAGCCCATTTAGTGTCCAAAGATATGACAGCGTCATTGGAAAAATACATTATTATTATTATTATTATTATTATTATTATTATTATTATTATTATTATTATTATTATTATT